CTTTGTATGTCATCTTTCCCTTCGTCGAACAGTCACAAAAATACGAGTTACACGCTTGTCTGAAACAAATGCAATCTTTCTTGTTACTTCTAAATCTCTATTTCGCTTCTCACATGCACGTAATTCACTGATAGATCAGCCTGTGAGCGAGGATAGACAATTGCCCTTCCCCTCCAAGAAATTTTCGAGGATGCACAGAGTTTTATTGTCAAGCATTGATAGCTTTTCTATTCGAAAATATCGCCCCATATTTAAAAAGTGAGGACCCTCGTACCCTGCCTTTGGAAGTGTTGACAGGAGATGATTTTTCGACAAGTGGAGTACAAGTTTTGAAGGAATATATCTTACATTCTAGAAAAATAAGGTTTTTTACAAAACCAAAGAAGATGCTGCTCGTATATTCGTAAAAGTCCGCTTAGAATTTGTTTTTCATATAAAAGGTGTGTGATAATACCATCTGGAAATGAAACAGAGACTTGGTTTCGGTAGTGCTTAATATGTCTGTTTCCAACGATCAATTTCATTCTGAATGATATCTCATCTAGAGACAAACGTTAGCAGACTATTCAAGATCCTATCAGAATCTTGCTCGTGGTTAGAACTGTAAATCGATTAGCTATGGTTCTGTCGTCAACGCTCAAGCGATCCAACTGTAGTGTCGCTGTTGCCGCAAATAGCTGCTGAAGATCTTAGCCACCGCAACACAAAGATAGATACCTGATTTTTTATAAAGTTCCGGCGTTTACGATCAGTTTCAGAAGATATTCTAGTCTAGTTTTTATTATTAAGTTTTCTCTTATCATTTTTACTCTTTTCTATTTCGAAATTTTTCGGAAGTAATTAAATTTTTAAAAGAGTTATCGAAAGCTTTTAGCCGCTGCCAGTAATCAAATCGTCGACTTATACCTCTACCGTTGATGGTTTTTTCCAAACTTAATATCATTTTTTTTTGCTTCATGAAGATGCATAGTTAAATGATCTGAGGTCTTATAGTGATTTTGTTGGTAATAATATAATAGAGATGACACTTCCTTCAATAATTGAAAGAACTTGAGCTTTTAAACTTTTCTTCTTTGAATGATCAAAGGTTCATAGCTAACTTGATATCTTCAAAGAGCAAATAAAAAAAAGGCTATCGGAGATCCAACATTACGACGATCGTAAACAAATATATATTGATGGTCATGATGACGTAAACGCACATAAATGGCGAAATTATGACCATATATGAGCCGTAGATTAACTTTTTTTTAAATAGAGGCAGTATTACGGTGACAAGTCACAATGTGGCATACAGAGTAAATTCTTACTTCTTTATCCTTCTACCTAGGTCTTACATCCATACCCGTCTAACTATAATCCTATAACTGCGCCTTTATAGCTACGCCATTATACTTATTTCATTAGGTCTCTATTTTTATGCGTACGTGCTTTAGTATGTTCGTTAGATACAGTATTTGACGATGTGTGACAAGCAATAATAGCAAATAACTTGGTTTGATTCAACTCATTGTATTTTATTTAATTGAACAAGTGTAGATCGTTGGTATCGATACTTATCTTCAATCAAATACAATAGAAAACGGTGACCGTTTGATAATCATCTACTGTTGGCATTTTTCGTCGTAACAGGCCGGTATGCAGTCCTGCACGAATATAAGTCTTGGGTTTTGGAGCCGTGAGTTACGGGCGAATGACTTCGACTCAAACTGATTCTCAACCGCTGTAGTGATAAATAGGATATTATCCTAACAATCGAATAGCGATTCATTTACCGCGTCAAAAACTATTTTTATCCATCGTCTACGTAAAATATTTTGCATAAACATTTTGTGACAAGCCACTCAAGCAAAAATTTTTGTATAAAATCTTTCTGTTGTCACCTACGCAAAAATCGTTTGGAAAAAAAACTTTGAAACCTACCGCTCATGCAAAAAGCTTTGTAGAAAATATGCGAAATATTTTTTTTTCTCAGAAAACGTAAAGGGTTCGTCAAAAAAAAAAGCAATCCTCTTTCATTCTATGAAACCATGAAGGACTTCGTAAGAAAACTACGCGACTTTTGGTTGCTTAGAAAAAAATACGAGAATCTTTTTCACTCGTCGAACTATCATAGGTTCACTAGAAAGCATGTAGAACCATCTCTTACGGAACCAAACCATGTAAAGTTTCGTAAGAAAAATGCGAAACTTTTTTCATCATATTGCATCACGTCAGTTTTGTGTGAAAAGTGTGACACCGTTTCTTATTTTTCTGAACCTACTAAAGGTTTCGTATGAAAACTACCAAACCCATCAATTTTCTCGAAATCTAACGAGGTTTAGCAATACATCTTCTTTCAAAGTATAGAAAACAAGTTTTCATACATGATTTTTATGCATTTAGGGGGCATTTGCGCTTCGCAAGTAAAGCTTGCTAAACGTTTCTGTAAGTTGATGGTACATTGTCTTGACATTTTGACTTTCAATCTGAAATATGCTTAATTTAGTTTCACAATAGATTAGAGCAAATCAGAGGCCTGCATTTCCATCAAGTTCATCTTCGACTTTCAAGATAAAATGTAAATAAAACATAGCCACCTCCAATTAACGAATAGGTAAAGTACAAAATCTATTTGTGTTCTCACCGATCGAGAAAGAACGAGCTCCTTTTTGATCAAATTATAATGCATGGGAATCAAATGTTTTTTTATTACCTTTTAAAAAGTGGTCGCCTTCAATGGTATCTTCTCTGTATCAGGTAAATGTTTGATATTCTTGATGTATAGTTTTGTTACCGCCCAAAATGTGACGTTTTCCATATGGGAAAGCTTATTAGGGCAGCCCTTCTAGGACTGCAATACAGAACTCACATAATTCCCATAAACTATAATGCTTACTCATCAGGTGTGTCCCGAAATGCCAAAAGTTGGGTATAGACAATTTTTGGGAAATTTTTAGAAGTTTCTGAAAAATGGTTGTAACGTATCAAGTAAAGAAAAACAATATTTCAGAATATTGGCGGAAGAAGAGTAACCTCGTGTTCCAGATACTACTGCCAACACTTTTATAAACTTAATGTTAAGGTCTAATTATAATGGAGACTTGTCTTTCTATGGTCTTTAATGGAAAAGAGGTAAGACAGAAAACTTCGACTTAAAACTGACACTCATTATTTTCTGCGAAACTATATGTGAGTTCCACAAAATACCTTGCTATTATGATAAAAAATTTACCTAGAAAAACGGCAGGAAAAAATCTTCACAACTGAAACGAAAAACCTGTCCATCAAGCTGTATTTTGCTATATCTATTTGAAATACAGATTTCGTAAGTTTTCTTCACTCTAATTGAACCTTTTAGTCTATGCAATTCGACAAACGTGGATGTTTATGTGATGGAAAATTGGTGCTGTGGTGAAGCAAAAGATTTTTATTGCTCCTTCTTAGACTTTTAGTGTAGCCTACCACTACCATAAACTGTAATATTCAACTCATATAATGCATTTTAACGTTCTTGCATTTCTGCTGCTTTACAGTCGGTTTTGAAAATAATCTCATCAACCTTGTTCATTTAATACCTCATAATCAGTGATAATAATTAATAGATATTTCATGACATTTTTTACATGGATAGGCACCTTCGTGATTGAATCGTTGGAGGATCATATTAATTATGTTGATCACTTAATCATTTTTATACCATCAGTCATTACACCAGCGATGTCATGTTGTTTTTACTTCAGCCTCGTTGCTTAATGCGAAATCAGTTGATAAGAATAAATTCTCTTTGTTTCTTTCTTTCTTTCTTCGAACAATATATTTGACATTGAGAGAAAAATTGAAAGATGACTTGAGTCTTTTTTCGTATATGCACCTTGACAGCTGATAAGTTTCTTTGTCGTTTATTTTCGTTTTACGTATGAAAAAAGTTTGTTTCTTTGGTGCTGTTGCTTTCTTTTCATTCTGTCACAATGACCATGAGACAACTCCGTATTATCTGTGTTTTTCATTTGAAAAAAATATGTTCAGCTAACTATTACTCTGTGACGATATTTTTAGATTAAGAAAACAAAAGAAAAGAAATCTTCACCAGACCATATTTTCTCTTTATTCACTTGGTGTCAAAACAATTGCATTTTTAAAATTTTGCTTTCGTATTCTAACACACATGTCTACAACCATGCTTCCATCGTACTGGAACTGGATCATACCATCTGTCGTTGTGTTTGTTCTAATTATTGTCGGCATTATTTTGTTTCTCTACTTGACAATCAATCCAAATTATGAAACAAAGCATCTTCCTGCAGTTTCTTCACCGGTCCTCCTCGTACGTATCGAACTTTTTGAAAGGAATGCAATTCTTTCCAGTTTTTACCAAGTTTGACGTATAGGTGAAATAAAATCACAATTAGGAGGTAGGAAATAGCGTTCGTTACTCATACATCTAACCTTTCTTTTCTTGTGCTAACTATCTGCACTCATGGCAGTTGAGTAATGATCAGTTACCTCAATACCTTACTTCATTTATGAAGCTAAACCTCTTGGGTTCTGTAAAATCTATCGTTCTTCACGACTGTTAGCAAAAATGAAAAATAACTTTCTTTTGTGCTCTGCTACTAACAATCAGTTTGCTTATACGTAGTTCCGAATGCAGAATATGCTTGTGTGATCTACTTGCTTTCAATCTCAAGGCAGCCAAATTCAGAAGGTAAAACTAGACTCATTTTGCGTTTTTTTAAGTCTCTGTTCTGTGTCAGCTGCTTCATGTTGTCTAAAAGCTTCTTGTGACCGCTCATAACAGAGATCTGGGCAAAAGTGTATGTCGTAATAAGTAGGATTATGAAGTGAGAAAGCAACTTGAATAATGATACTTATTCGTATCAAGATATGAACATATGAGATGCCTTAGACCTATGATTTCAAATATTTCTATCTTAATTCTTTATTTTTCGTATTAGGTCGATGCGACACCTGATTCTGATAGAAATACTCTAATGTCCACTTCTGATAGGAATACCATAATGACTGCTTCTGATCGGAATATTCTAACTACTACTCCTACCAGCATACTAATCGATGATGCTTCAGCATTATTTAATAAAGCTAAAAGTGTATGGTCTATTATCTCTAAAAAGTAAGAACCAACAAATAAAAAAACAAATAAATTTGGAGGAAAAGTTTCTTCTCTTATATGATTTAGTGCAGCGACGGCCGATATTCACACTATACATGGTAATGTTTTACCTGCTAACATCAACAGTCCATTAGATCTTCAATCTTGGTCATCTTCGCCTGTTTCTCGTTCTTCTTCTCTAAAGATCTACAATCGTTTAGGTTTACGTGTTCTTCAATTTGACTATGATCTTGAATTTCTGTACGGCGGCTCGTTAAATGGACGAGGAGCGTATTTAGATGGTATTACCGTAGTTCCATCACGTATAACTGTTGCCTGGTGTTATGTATTCAATGCAAACGTTGAAATAACGTCTATACGCAATGTAGGCACAAGTGATAATCCAATAGCTGCTGCGCATATTGAATTAAAATATCAACTAAAAGCACTCAGTCGCGTAGAAGGAACGACATCATTTGATGTTAAAGGTGATGGACGCGTGGATATTTTGCATATGAAATAAAACTCGATCATTTTAAGTATTCATTTCTTGAAACATCTACACATAGACTAGTTTGAGTCGTCAACGACAGTCCATCATTCACCTACGCTGGATAACGGCGACTATACGTGACCGTGTACTTCCATTGTGAATGACATTAGTATAGGATTACTATTGATCCTTGAGTCGTCAATGTTCACAGATGTAGACACTGGTATAAGCATCATTGAACAAAATCTGAGCGTTTAATCGAAAACTAATTCTATATTAAGTGTAAGGACAGAAGTTCATGAACTCTCGTTTGGTAACAAAAGAAATTCTTTTTTATCAAGCTTCTCCTAGAGTTATTCAAAGTACAGTGTAAAGTTTTTGTTTGTTGAATAATTTTTTCAAATTTCAGCTATAGTCCAAATTTCGAATTTTCTTCTGGCTTTGGAAATGATATCTATAGGCTAGGCACATATTAGTTGCTCAAAATATTTTATAAAAATTATGAGTAAGTTTCTAGATTAGACAGCTCATTGTCTACACTTGCCGACATTGTGAATATTAAACATAAAAATGACTGTTTTCTGTAAACAATTCTATTCATGTATCAGTATACCAAGCAGAGATGGAAAAAATCTGAGTTTTTGATGACCAACATCGATTCCATCTATGATACAAGCGATGTTTTCTGAAAGTTGGATAGATCTTCAAATAACAATAGAAAAACTTCAGGATAGTTGACAACTCTATTGAAGGTCATGTGGCTTATGACACTCTTCACCTGTGATACTAAGAAAAAATTAGATGTTCGAAACTCAAATCAAAACATTAACATCATTTTAGTAGCATGAAACTCATGAACCTCAGTAAGTTTGTCATCAAACCTGTATATTTTCTTTTGTTATTTGGAGATGAAATTTGTCAACTTTGTAAGCTGCAAAAGAATACCGAAATCAGCATGAATTTCTTTGATGTAAATGATGGTTTTGACAACAAGAAAACTACGCGAAAGACCAGTTTTAAGTCGTTTTCCTCAATTTTCACGTCTGTGAAGTTCATATTGCACCAAGAACAGGCGATTTCATGGTTGTTTTTCCTTATGGTATGAACATAATGGTGAATAACAGTCCTCATATTAGTTGTGAGTTTGCTGGTAGATCTTTGAGATTCTTCATGGAAGATGGGTAATGGTTCTAACTGACTGTAAATGATCGTTAACAAGAGGAATATAGTAATTGCTAGGTGGAGAGTCATATTAAAGTGATCAAACAACACTAATTGCTATTTTTCTTCAATATCTTTTGTTCGACGTGGTTTTGACTGAAAGTACTGTGCAATACATGATTAAAATGAAAGAAAAGGATGATTTTCCAATGAAAATGATGAATATCTATCAATCATAACATTGGGAGATTTAGCCATTTTTAGTCGACAGTAACTAGGATCAACATTACACATATTTAACTGAAATTGAACCCATGTGGAAATGAATGTTGTACAATTTACTTCAATGACTGGGGTCTCTTCAAGTTTTTAACATAGGAGTCAAATGCTTTTTGAAATCATATTAACGAAGTGGGATATAAATGCATTTTTTGGTTCATTCTGTTTTACTTCGTTGATACTCTTTGTTGTTTTTATTTCTATGACAATGTTTATTTAGATTATTCGTGACAGTTTTCATACTGTTCAAAATAACAATCATTGAAATTTATATGGAAAAAACTTCTACATGAGCGAAGTTTATTGAAAATTCAGTCGAGATTTTTTCTTAAACTTATTTTCATTTCGAAAAAAAAGAAAACAAATTATTAGGAATTTTATGAAGATACGAATCATATTAATTCGTGTTTAGATCTGTGAAAATTCGTTTCGTTGAACAGTTTTATGGTATTGTCTATTGGTCAATAACGCTACAAAAACTCAGAAAAATAATTTCAATGTAAAAGGAAACACAATTTTTTCCTGCTTTTTGTGTAATTTTTTGCTGCCTATTTTTCATTATTCATTCTTAAACATAGGAAACGTTTTCATTCTCACTTCAAACAATACCTTAAAATCACAAGTTTATTTCTCACGAGTAGATTCTTTTGTATTTCGATTAATAATACAAAGATCACTGAAGTTTTTTATTGTTGTGATTTTTTGAAAATACTTGACAACATTTTATTTTATTAAAAAAAAATCAAATTGCAATTTTTATCATTCAGAATATTATTTTTTAAGTACAAACTGATCAACAACATTATCATCACTATTGTGATGATAGGAAAAATGTAAATATGTTCTATTAGCCCATAATTGAGTATAACCATATTGTTGATCATGATAAATACTCCATTCAGCATCTGAATATTCTCCATTATCAATGTCTTGTCCAGCCATTCCAATTAGAATATGTGTTATACCATCATCAACACACTTTTGTTGAAACATAGGACATGTTCGTTCATATGAATGTTTATGTGCAAAAAGATTAAGATCAACATGATATTTATAAAATAATGGTTCTAAATAGAGTTGTAACATAAGTTTAATAAAATCATAAGGTTCATCTGTTTCTGATGCATACATTGGTCGATGTGAACCAACAATTAACCATGGAGTACGAGAACGATTTACTGAACAAAGATCTTGTTCAAGCCATGAATATTGTGGAGATGTATGACGAAAATCATGTTCTGTTGAATAGTAAACAATATGTGTTGGACCTACATCAAAACTATACCAAAAAAGACCATTTCCATTTGATGGGGCATTAAAACGATGAACCATTGGAACAGCACATTCACCACCTGAATCATAACCATAATTTCCCCTAAAAATAAATGGTACAGCAATAAAAATGATTCATCAGCACGAAATATGTTTGATTTTCTATTAAACACGACACTGACCATTCTGGTCGAAATCCACCCGGACCTGGTGCACCACTTGGATCATTCTCTCCACCTAAGACATGATCATATTCATGATTCCCGATTCCAACCATATATGGTACACGAGCTGCTATAGGTTCGATTTGTGTCATAAAAGCATCCCATTGAGCACCAAAACCTCGTGCATAACTAATATCACCAATATGTAACAAACAAGTTATATTTGTTAATAAGATTCGTGGTGTAACTCGATCCATTGTAGATTTAGAACCAGGTGCATATGGTGCTAATCCCATATCTCCATATGCAATCATATATACTGGTTCATCTTTATTTGCTGGTCTATTTGTAAATGAATAAATTGATGACCAACCATGTTGATCTGTTCCAACGCGATAATAATATTTTGTTGATGAACGAAGATCTTCTAATAAAATGGTATGCATATATCCTGGATCAATAAATCTTCGTGGATGCCATTCATTAGCTTTTCCTTCACACATATCTGATGCTGTATAAGTTGTTGTTCTTCCATTTTTATGAAAATTTAACGAGGATGGAGTTAATCCATATTGACATTGAGGAGTATATTCTGATGAATTAGTTAAATAAGAAACAAACATTTGATCAATTCGATCACTATATGCTAAATGGACATGCATTGGTTCATTGTAATTCCGTGGTTGAATAACAGGTGACTTAGCATTAAGAGAATAATTCGCTGAGCAATTATGTTCACGTGAATAATAACGAAATTCTAATGGACGACGAAGATTAATCATTTTCCATAACATACTACTTTGACCTTTGTTAACAACTTCATTATCGAAATAATCACAAACTAGAATAATGATACAAAATGATTTATTTACTTATGCCAATAAATTATAAAAAGCGACATGTTCTTTACCTGCAGTAAGTGGACTCTCGACAGAATATATTCCAATATAATCATCATAACATGGAGTTAATGGTGATGACCAAGTGACTGTGACCAGTTCGTTACTGGAATAGATCGTAGATGATACATTCAAACTTGCTATAGAGACATTTGTAGAAGAAGATTTTATTTTTGAAGGCAATTTACATGGACGACGATCTGGTTCATCATCTATTGTATGACGTTTGCCAAAAGGACCATTGGCATTTAGATGTTTGCCTACTGCGGCGAAAATAATAAACAAAAAGAAAAGAAAGACGACCAGCCTCATTTGACCAAAACAAACTCATTCTGTAGCTCGTCATATTTTACCTTTCTTTACATTCAACACGGAGAACGATAAGAAAAACAAACCGATAGCATATCATTCTACATTGAAGAAGTTTTTCTATATTGCAAATGTTCTATGATGCTGTAAAGAATACAATAGATTTCATATACACCCATGTTTCTCGTGTCAGCAAAGTTCTGTGGAAGTAGTACTCATACAACAATCAATACAATTGTCAGAACTTTTTACATAAAAAAGTATAAAACCTTCAAGACAAAAACATGAACATTCTATGCGAATAAGAAATGATTTATCTTTCAATTTAGTTATCTTAAATGAAATAAATAGTCATGATACATTGAGCCATAAACGAAACTAATCTAACGAAAGTGTCAAAGAAAAAGTTGCTATCTACTCAAAATGTTCGATCAACAGGAGCAGACTAGTCACCGTTCCGCGTTGGACATTGACATCGGCTTTGTATGAATGTAATTCTACTAAGATCATTCGACTTTGGCTCTTTCCCATACAAAAATTTCTGTTCAATGGCATTAATCATTTAATCTGTCTGCTTCATTGGTTGATTATTAGTATTCTAGCCTCTTATGGCGAAATGATAAACTTCCGCCATGTTTTGGGTACAAAGCCGGGGATGCAACTTTTGTAACAATTCCACAATTTTGCGAATCATTTGTAGCATATGCACAAACACTAACCAGATTAAGACAGCAAGAGCAATGACAATGAGTAATACACGTAATGCTGATCTTGTTAAGAATCTTGACGCAGAGCAAATTCTTTGCTATGATTAGTCTGCGAATGTATTAAATGATTTCCATGCTACAACATTTAATTATGATCTATTTGATTTCTCACGATGAGGAATCCGAAACTACGATTCCGGCGATTTCTGACAGTCGGATCCAATTGTTGGAAAATTACG